CCGTTTGCCACTACAAAAGGTCCAACAATCAAGCACAGAAAGGTATAAAGTCCACAAAGTCAGGGAGTGAGTTCACTTAGGGAAACATTCCATATGTCAGACTAAAAACGGAACATGGATCTGACGAAGGCAGGGCGGTGCTTTTGAATGATCTCTCTGGGGCCAAATGCCGTTTGCCACTACAAAAGGTCCAGCAATCAAGCACAGAAAGGTATAAAGTCCAAAAAGTCAGGGAGTGAGTTCACTTGAGGAAACATTCCATATGTCAGACTAAAAAAGGAACATGGATCTGACGAAGGCAGGGCGGTGCTGTTGAATGATCTCTCTGGGGCCAAATGCCGTTTGCCACTACAAAAAATCCAGCAATCAAGCACAGAAAGTATAAAGTCCACCAAGTCAGGGAGTGAGTTCACTTAGGGACACATTCCATATGTCAGACTAAAAAAGGAACATGAATCTGACGAAGGCAGGGCGGTGCTTTTGAATGATCTCTCTGGGGCCAAATGCCGTTTGCCACTACAAAAGGTCCAGCAATCAAGCACAGAAAGGTATAAAGTCCACCAAGTCAGTGAGTGAGTTCACTTAGGGAAACATTCCATATGTCAGACTAAAAACGGAACATGGATCTGACGAAGGCAGGGTGCTTTTGAATGATCTCTCTAGGGCCAAATGCCGTTTGCCACTACAAAAGGTCCAGCAATCAAGCACAGAAAGGTATAAAGTCCACAAAGTCAGGGAGAGAGTTCACTTAGGGAAACATTCCATATGTCAGACTAAAAACGAAACATGGATCTGACGAAGGCAGGGCGGTGCTTTTGAATGATCTCTCTGGGGCCAAATGCCGTTTGCCACTAGAAAAGGTCCAGCAATCAAGCACAGAAAGGTATAAAGTCCACAAAGTCAGGGAGTGAGTTCACTTAGGGAAACATTCCATATGTCAGACGAAAAAAGGAACATGGATCTGACGAAGGCAGGGCGGTGCTTTTGAATGATCTCTGTGGGTCCAAATGCCGTTTGCCACTACAAAAGGTCCAGCAATCAAGCACAGAAAGGTATAAAGTCCACAAAGTCAGGGAGTGAGTTCACTTAGGGAAACATTCCATAACCTACGGATTGTTAGATTGAAAATCTGACCCTCTGGGACCAGTTTGAAATGCGAAGAGTTAAAGCGTACAACTTGAACCGTTGAACAGTGGCCATACATTCAGAGTTCCAATTGGTTGTCGTTTTGGAGGGCACCCTTTTTTGTGGGCATTGAGGGCAAACCAGAAGGACTCCTACCATTTTTGCAGCCTCCCCCCACCAAAAAAACAAAACACCGATATTTTGTCTAGGCCTTGGTAGACTTTGATACCCATGCGGTTAATCCAACGTTTCCAAAGTTTCCAAGGATTTCGGGAGGCCGGATTTGGATTTCGGAAGTACAAAAATCTGGGCAGCCACCGGCCGGGGTCCAGCCAGCCCGGGGCGCGGGAGCTTCTTAAGGAAGGCTTTATAAGGGGTCCCGTGTGGTTGTTTGCTTCTTGCAGTTGGTCACGTTGCCCTGTTTTCGACTGGAAACGACGAGCCAGAACTGGTAGATACTTGGCCATTGGTTTAGCATAGCGCAAATAGTACTTTCTTAAGGGTACCCCAAAAAAGGAAACCGAAAGGAAATCAACCATATTTTGTTGGGGCCCCTATTTTGAGACACACCCAAGTGGAAGAAAGGCATTGCTTCTTGCAGGAACGGACGCTGAGACGGCCCAAGCACCAACCGGTTTGCTTTTCGGGGTCCTTGTTGAGTGCTTGGGTGTTCGAATCGAAAAGCTAGTATGTTGTCAACAAACTAGCTTATAACCCACTTATAAGTCCCCCTGAGTGGAGTCAACCTTGATATTAGTGTTATACGTGCTCCAATTTATTGGCTTTCCCAAGGGGTACTTCAACCAAGGGCCTTGTGTGAAGCTTCTTGCCTCTGGATCCCCCTAATTCCCTACCTTAAGGGGGAGGGGGGTGGGGGGGGGATCTGCAAATCAATTTTCTAGTTTTCCCTATGAAAGGGAAAAGGGAGATGCCACTGGTGAAAGACTCATCATTCATGTCCCTCTGTGGGAGGTCCATCCTGGGCCACTTGCGAATTGCAAGTGAGGCAAAAATGGGCAAGCTGGTTTACCCTATCGGGTAGAGAATCTTGAAGGAAACCCACCGGAGTCTCCTTCTGACCCTTAAAAATTGGGTCAGTATCCAAAACTGTGGGGTCATTGACCCATTTTTCAAGGGTCAGAAGGAGACTCCACTCCGCAAAACATGACCAAGAAAAAGCAACCCACTCGCCTCCTCCTTCACCAGCGCGTGGGTGTCCAGAGACACCCGTGCCACGGCCTGGGGACGACAAATTGTTGCGGCCACAAGGTCCCGTTCGAGCCTAAGTTTAGAAATGGGTCACGTTTGCTAACATCATCTAACATCTTCTCTCGACCTGAATTCACGTGCTGGTTTCTAGCAATGATTTAGATGGATTGTATAGGTTTATACTGGTAAACAACGCATTTCCCTTGGCCTCGCCGCTTTCAAGGGCAATGCCCAAGAGTTTTGCCGGGTCCGGGAACCCCTGGACTTATAGGTCGGCTCTCCCCGGTTTCTGGCTGCCCTGTAAGGGTCTTAGAGCGAGAGGGGTGCCTTGTTACTGATGCAAGACTGGGTCACGTCTAGGTCCTTCAGTGAAGAGGTTAGAATTAATAAGGGTTACCCTTTTTTTTCTGTAGTCTGCTTTTAGTAAAAGGGCACTACTGGGTGACAACTTAATAGGGGATTGCTAGGAAGAGACGAATTGCCAATTTTGGGTGGCTTGATTTTGGTACTAGTAGGGGAAATACAAGCATGGGACATTTCTGGAAAGGAGCCCCAACGAGATTGAGGGGTTCTCTGGGAGTGAATTCTGACCGTTGCGCACACATGGACGGACTACGGAACCTCCTTGATTTGGGTTTGTCTCAAAAAGGTGGACTTTTTGTGTGGCTTGCTTTGGTTTCTCATTTGCAAAACCCCAAAAAACGAACCGCCCCCCGCTAACAAACACAACACACCCGCTTCCGAGGTGAGGTCGCCATGTATTTTGCCCAGGCCTGTTGATTTCAGCAGGTTCCAAAAAAGCGCAACTATCCAAATTAGGGTGTCTAGGTCAGTAGGGGAACCCTCCCCCACCAAAGGGTAAAAGGGCACTACTGGGGGTTTCGCAGGGTATAATGCTGAAGATGGGTAACGTCCTGAACCAGTCGGGATGGATGAACATTGAGATAAGCCACCTACCAACTGAAACTTGTACCATCCACAGCCAGGCCCCCCCGATGGCCGGGAATTGGCGTCCCGGGTGAAGTGCCGGCAATTGACCAGCACTTGCTTAAAAATGGTTTTGTAGTCACATAGATTTTTTGTGCCATCATCAAAGTGCAGCGCAAAGTCACTTTTGTTGAAACTTCACTTCAGGATACCAGAAAAGATCCGGTTGAGGGGTTGGGCTGACATGTATGATCATTGCACATGCGACGCGCGGGGGCGGGAGGGGTGGCGACACGCTGGTGACACGCTCATATCACAAAAAAGTGACCATTCAACGTACATGTGCCGGCAATTGGCCACCCCCCGACACGCCGTGACACGCCGTGACACGCCGTGACACGCTCCTCAAGAACCCCTCCCAACCTCAAACTTGCCCTCCAAACCTCAAATTTGCCGCTCTCCCCTTTCCCCTGCAACCCCATTCCAAAGGATCCTGGAAGGTCACTTGTATCATTGCACAAATTGCACTAAGTCCAGATGCAAATTGCTTTTGCAGTCACTTAGACATAAAGTGACATCGTTTTGCCCAAAATCGATGTGCCGGCAATTCGCGAGCCATTGGGGGGTGCTGGAGTACGCAAACTTTTTGGGACACCATCATTTAGATCCCAAGGGTAAGGAACTTCGGTTACCCACTAGAGCGGCAACTGGGGAGCACTGGATTTATTGTTGTGGAAAATCACCATGTCTGTGATACCAAAGAGGGCCATCCAAGCCGACATATCACGTGAAGGGGGGGTTCCTTGCCATCACAGAAGTAGTCATTAAACTAAACCAATATTTCCACCACCATGAACCAGGTTACACAAACATACGCAAACCCTATGAGACACGCTCTCCCTTTTTTCTCCTGCGCGTGTCTTGTTGCAACGGCGCCTGGCGGCACTCGATTTCCATTTGTCACAAAGGTGTGCTTAACGGGGGTACTTCGGAAGTGGGTAACCACCATGGATATATAACCCGCTTGCGAGTACCATGGTTATAAGTCTCCAAAGTGGGTTATGTCCAGGCTTACCAGGAACCACTTACTAAGTAAAGAACCCTTTAAGTGTGTGTGCGTGCGCGTGTGTGTGCGTGTCAAAATCGGGGGACCGCCAAAAGTTGGTGGCGCTCCTTTTGGTGTCCCTTTGAACCAAGCCCAAAAAGGACGCCCTTGAAAGATATACAAGGAACTGCAAGGAGGGGAACTCGGGAGGGGCTTTGGTTATCATTCAGCAATACTCACGCTGGACAACTGGAAAGGGGCTGGAAGGAGGGGAACTGGAGAATTTCAGTGGAACACGAAACCTTTAGGCTTATCCTGGGGTCCAGCAATACTCACACTCGCTTTGGGTGCTCATGGACCTGCCATTCACTGGATGTTAACAATGGTTAGATCGCGGGTCTGTCAAACATCGCAACTAGTACTGATTCGGTGTCCTTTTGGAGCAAACAATCATTGGCTAGTTCGCCCCCAGTTCAATGAGATATCGGAAGTGTTGGGCATGTCCCTCGCTTCGAGCAACATCCGCCTCCTGACCACGTCTGGAACTCAGCGAGCATTCTACGGGAACCACCCGTGGTTCGACAAGCAACTAGAGCACTGCGAACTCAGCTTGTGTGTTGACCCCCTTTTTTCAAAAGTCAGAGCACACATCACGCGCATCCATGTCCTTTTTCCACAAGAAGACTGTCACGAGCTAGCTCACCGGAGTGGCAAAGATGTCCGCGATGGTACGATCATCATGGTCCTCACACCAGTGGCGCGTGATTTGTTTGAAGACAGCCCAATCTGTACATCAGGAAATTCTGCGGATGGGTGTAAATCAGGCAACCACAGGGTGTTTGAAAGACTTCCCATTAAAAAAAAAAAGACGCAAATTTCGTGACCCCGTCAGCGCATCGGGGAAAACGCGAATCCGGTCATTCCACTTAGCGATCAAGGGAAGCCACCAGCAAAACCTGATTGGCGGGAATTAGGACCCCAGCAAACACTTTTTTCGTGTTGCCTTAGTGGAAAACCGATCCAAAAAAAGCGAAAAAGCAAGAAGGGGAGCAAACTCTGGGGAAGACACCTGATCACCCATTTTGGCGGATGCCTACACCGCTTCCTGTGTCGCAAAATTATCAACATCACAACCAGAAACGCCAACGATGTAACAGAAACATGCCTAGAAACATAAATCTGATCATCCTATAGCACACAGCGGAGAATCCTGCTGGTTTGATACGGTAATCTCTGTTTCCTGGGCTTCTGGTTGCACAAAACGAGTTGAAACCCAAACCCATGCCAAGCTCAAAGGTCAACATAAAACGAGGCAAGGCAGTGCTCGAAATTGTCTAAGCGTTTCAGTCTTGCTACCACTGGACTTGGAAATACACGCCAATTATTTATTTTGCTTTGGGGGCTTACCTGAACAAACATACCACAATTGGCAAACCAGAAGGTCACATCCGGTGGATTCGCTTTGTACAAGCAAGATAAGTTCGGTTGCCATGTTTCAAGGGTTGAAGGATGTTGAAGGTCACACCAACAAATAGCTGCCGCAAGAGGCGCACTTGCAACAGCCGTGCTTGGCCCGGTCCCTACCCTTCAAACATTTCCCGGGCAAAGGTGATTTTAAAAGAACCCTTTCAAACAACTCCCAAAAAGGTACGAGTGCTCTGTTGCACCACACAGGCAAACACTTTCATTCAAGAGAGCACCCAAAACCTTTCCTAGCTCTTGGTTCTACCATCGTCATAAGGCTTTAAACAAAGGCCTTGTTGCACTCCGCACGAAGCCAGCAGAATTGCCAAACCAGCACGGCCCTCGCTACTGATTTGTCGGTCTATGGTAATCTCACTGGCTGAGTGGATGACCCAAAAAAAGTCCAAACTTTTTCTGTACCACTAAAATGGTCCAATCCCAAAAAGTCACTCAAGTCCATGAACTCAGGGAGTGAGTTTAATTCGCCGTCCTGGTCGAGCAAAAGACCATCTGCCAGAACAAACTTCGGAATGGTGTCCGTCTCCAGCTCCAAGAGCGCCACTGCTTCAGCCCTCAGGGCTTCAGGATCCACACCCCGCTCGATGTGTGTGGGAGCCTTTTTGTGCTCCAAACGTATGGGGGTGTCGTGTTCTTTTTTTCGGCGGTACCCATTCTGGGAGAAGTTTAAAGGGAAAGCGAAAAGAAGAAGAAGAAGCTATTTTGGGGAGTTCCCCTATCTTGAGACATCATATTGGGCGTGTCCGTGTGTTTTTGATGGAGCAGTTTGAGGGTTCAGGTGGTTGCAACCTCCAACCTTCCCGCAGCCAAGACAAACCACGCAACCTAGCTTGAACATGTTGGCGCCAACCCGAAGGTTCGCCCACCCCGAGTCAGGTAGGCTTGGCCAGAACTGACCGTGTCAGCTGTTACAACTTGCAGGTCCAGAAGAGGACAAGTTTTGTTGGGTTTATGTTGGGCCCACCAACAACTTTTTATGGTTTATGTTGGACAGATGGCTAGCGCGGGAGCGGTCGGGGACATTGGGAAGCGGGGCACCCCTCAGGGTCCTGGCGATGTGCAAACCACTGATGAACAAACCTCCATGTGGGTGTGTCTGTTTTGAGGGGTTTGGTGGTTTCAATAAGGAAAACTACACTTCGATTTTATTTGGTGCGGGGGGGGGGGGGGGGTCGGGGGTTCACCTAAAAAAAGACACCCATTTCCTCCATTTGTATTTTCGTCCACTTGGAAACATGAGAAAATATGTCCAGTAGTGAAATCGATTCCCTTTAAAACCAACAAGGGAAAATACAAAAATATTCATTTCAGCAAATGGAAGACAAACTTCCACTTGGTGTTCTCTTTGGAGGCGAGCAGGTCCTGGCTGTTCAAGCATGGCCCAAATCTGTTCACCAAATGTCACATGGGCAAGTCGGTTTCTTGAGAACCCCTTTCCAGTTGCTGTTCAAGGGCAAACAAAAGCTGAAACCCTGCGGTCCCCCCAAAATGACACACCCATATCAGATTCTGCCAACCACTGTCGGTCTAATTGGAGACCGGGTTTGGCCCAACGCTAGGTAACCTCACTCAAAGGACCAAATTGGGGACTGTTCGGCAGTCAAGCCCCATTTGGGTGTGTCTGTTTGAGGGGTTAATAAGGAAAACGACATATCTATTTATTTGGTGCGGGGGGTCCCCTCAAAAAGGCACACCCATCCATTTGCTTAAGTCCGCTGGAAAGATCAAACATATGTCCAGTGAAATCGATTCACTTTAAAACCAGCAGGGGAAAATCGTAAAAAACAAACATTCATTTCAGCAAATGGAAGATGTTGAGCCAAGCCCTTTTCAACGTTGAATAATCCCACGTTCCAGTCCTGACGTCCCTGAAAACCATGGCGTCCGGCTCTTCCACAGCCAGCGACGCCAGGCACTGACCGGCCGCGGAGGTAAACGACAGAGTCGAGCAGAGCGCATCCATGTGCGCTGCGACGGTAAGCCTCTAGGGGTAACTTCCCCATTGTTTCCAGGGATGCTTCTTTCTTGAAAATCACCAGAAACCCTCAGGAAATGGCTGGTTTTTGAAAAGAACGATGGCTGAAAAGCATGGGGAATCAACCCCTAGAAAGCCTCAGTTGATCTCAGTTGCTTGCTTGCTGGCTTGCTAGAAACAAACAAGCAAAACAAGGGATCCAACAAAAAGCAAACTGCAAAATACAACAACCCAGCAAAATCATCCAACAACCAGGCAAATACAAACAGGCAATCGGCAATAGACCAACAAAACGCCAAAATGACAAACAACCCAGCAACAACAAACATAAACAAACAACTAAGACAACATAGTAGAGTCAAGTCTCCCAACAACAATAAGAACAATAATAGTCAAGACCAAACACCACCTTGAAATAACAGGCACCCTTTGGACTCATGGCCAACATGGGACGGAGAGAAAGCCCAATGGACCTGGAAACTGGTTCAGGAACTTTGACTAAACATGGGGTGTCCTTTTCGAGGGCGCCATTTGAAATGTATGATTTTAACAAAGACACCCAAGCAGGCAGCATTTTCGGGATCCGATTGCTTTCTCTTGACACCTTGGTTGACGTTGCAAGGGGAGCAAAACAAAAATAGCAGTGAACTGGGGATTTCAACCACGAAACCACAATAAGCAAAAATGTAAAATGCTTCCCAACAACCGTGACACAGCCACCAAGGGACACCGAAGACACCAAGGTCGACTCTTGGACTAAGCAGCACGAGCGCGAGCTTCGGCACTTCCACAATGCGAACGAAATGGTCTCCGCATGCCAGCGCAAACTTGAAGTTCTTCCGGTCCACAATGCCAGTGCCCTTGTCCTCAGCCCAACTTGGTTGACGTTGGAAGGGGAGCAAAAACATAAATGTTAGCAGTGAACTGGTTGGATTTCAACCACTAAACCACAATAAGCAACAATGTAAAATGGTTCCCAACAACCACCATACCAAAGGACCTGAAAACAACAGGTACAACCTGCTGGGCCCATGACCAAAAAGTGAAAACCAAAAGGTGCAAAAGTCGGGTTTGTGCAAGCGAGTGTCGATTAGGAACTGCATGGGGTGACAATCTTGACTGCAGTTGAAGGAAATCCCTCTGCAGCCGTGAACCTCCTTGTCGCAGAGATGGGCCAAGCTATCTGGCTCTTGATTTGTGTAGATCTCGGCATCCAGGTGCGGTTGCGAGCCTTCCGCCTGAACAAAGTCCACCAAGTCGGTGTAAAGCCGCTCGCCGCAACGCCCGCACTCCAGATGCACATAGCGCTCCATAAGGCTGGGATGGGGTGGATTCACCCATCCGAGTTAGATGCATCAGGACAGCCTCGCCCTTTTAGGTTTAGATGTCTTAGTCACTTTCGATAGCCAGCTTGGCTGCCATGGCTCACCTTACAGTCGTGACTCACTTGAACTTGGTGTTTAAAGATGAAGCAGGATATGAACCCCCATCCTTGAAGGTGTTTAAAGCCAAAGTTGCTAGTTTGCGGGGTAATTCGGTTGCTCCCCGCATGTCCTCCCCAACAGTAACAATCTTCCTGACTTGACGGATCTTGATGGCCTCACCTCCTGAGTGGATTGCTCAAGACCTAAGAGAAGGTCCCAGCTTTGTTTTTGTTTTCCGCTAAAATGGTCGTAGCAAACAGCATAAAGCTCCAAGAACTTGTTTGGAGTGAGTTGATGTTCAAAAGCCCCCAATAGGCCCAAGCCGCTTGAGCCAAGCGACTGCGGAGCAAACTGGCCTTCGCTTATGCGAGGTGGTCATGAAGGGACCCAACCACTGCCTCCCTTGGTGCCCGTTTCACCCGTTGTTTGCTCTCAGTTGTCCAACGGATCCAGAAATCAAAGGTTAGCCTTTTGAAGCCATGAGAAAGTAAATATGGAGCATATCAAGCAAACCCCAAGGTTAAAAGGTCGGTTCGCCTTGGGCTGAGTTTTTCCTGCCACGGTGAACATATGCCCTTTGTTTATCCGGATAAAGGCGCAAAGGCCCTATGAAATCCATAAGGTTGAGCTCTCGGGCTTGGTCACTGCTCACATGGGGACATGACCGAAATGGCCATGTGTCAAAAGCCCGTGCCCCCAGTGAACATCCCAATCCCCACTAAAATAGACGAAAATGGGTGGGTCACCTACCCCAAAATGGGACCATTGGTTTTGACCCACAACCAAAATAGGCTGGACCCTAAAACCCTGCAT